ACATGGAGACCTTGTAAAGCAGGGGCTTACAGATGGCCACGTATCGGTCATAGGCCATTGACGTCAAAATACAGCACTCATCAATAACAAAGAAGGAGAAGAAGCAGAGCTGAGTCATGCACTCTGCATAAGAGATGATGTTCTGGCTCACAAAACTCATCAGCATTTTAGGAGTAATGACAGAGGAGTGGCAGAGATCAAGGAAGGAAAGATTGAAGAGAAAATAGTACGTGGGAGTGTGCAGGTGAGGGTTCAGGCCAATAAGAATAATCAAGCCAACGTTCCCCACCACAGTGACCACATAAATTGCTAAGAAAATGAAAAAGAGAGGCAGCTGGAGTTCTGGCTCCTGTGTTAAACCCAGCAGGATGAACTCGGTCACTGAAGAGTCATTCTCTGGGGCCATTCTTCCCTAGGACATACCTGGAGAGCAGGACAGAGGGTGACGTTAAAATGAGCGCCCCGCTCTCTCCACCCAGCCCCACTCTAGTGAGAGAGACCCAGAATGCGAGAAGGAACCCCAGCCCACCCTTCTGTGCCTTTGTTTTCTCCTCTGTATAAAGGCTGAGGGAATTTTTAAAGATGTGTATCAAAAACAGTAACAGGCAAGTTCTGCAGGGATAAGATTGAGTAACCCTGGGACCTCTTGACAGCAGCCTCTCTGCTCCACTTCTGCTCTGACAGTTTACCAGGCCCACCCAATAATAGTGATCATCTCAGCAGAGAGAAGGCGTGTCATTTCAGATAGTCCTTTGCTTCTATAGATGAGGTTTGGAAGATGAGTAACAGGACAGATAAAATTCAACACTCACCCTTCCGTATGGAGACTTCAGTATTGGGACTTGCTACCTCTGCTTCGTTATACTCAAGGAAAAGCAAGTGGTTATGATGAATTTTAGAAACAAACAACCCAGAACAGAGATTCTTCTTCTTTGCTATTGTTTTTGTTGTGAGTGCATTTTGGACTGAGAGAGTCAGAGCACAGACCTCGGTACACCAGGCTCTGAGGTGCCATGAGTTACAGGTCTTGATTTTTGATGGTAGCTCTGCCAGAGTGTTCTCTCCAGCCTAGGGGGTGGATATAACATCTGCTGGTGGGCAGGGAGCACCTGCTAATATGACCTAGAGGTTATTGAATTGAGAAATCCTAGAGACCTGATTAAAACTTAGAAGTCTTAGGTTTTCATTGTGTTTTCCCCAGAGACCATGATTTGCAGCAAAGAGAAATTATCTACCCTGCATTTAAGCTGAGGTCACTATAACAATAATATTTTGGAAGTAACCCATTTTCCATACATTTTGGTTTGTTGCCAAATGGGACACATCCTCAAATAGAAAAGCAGGTGACCTTTCCTGAATACACAGTACCTACCCCTCTATGAAATACTAACCACTTGTTTATTTAGTTTGTTTTACCACAACACATGCATTCATATGCTCACTTGCATTTGAATCTAAGTTCCATAGGGGCAGAGATTTTGTCTATTTTGTTCAGTGTTATTTTTGTAGCAACTTAGAGTAACACCTGGCATATGCAGTAGGTACTGAATAAATATTTGCTTAATAAACACTGAAGAAATGATAATCCCTTTCCCCCACGTTTCTTGGGGCCAATTGTAGATATTAAAATAGAAATGTTACCCCCCTGGCAAAAGCTTATATAGTTTAAGTCAATGTTTTTCTTTGTAGACCTGAGTGTGGTGCAGGATAAACATCATTAAGGTATGCCTGGATGTTTCAGTAGACTGGCCCAACCCTTTTGTGGGTTTCTGATAGGTACTATTTCAGATACTGAGGAATTATTAGGAGACAATCCTATGCCTTCTAGGAACTTATGGTTTAAGAGAAGTACACATATAAAAAGGAACATTTTAGCATTTGTTACAAATAAGTCTCAACAGAGAAGACATGATGCTTTCCAGTTGTGGTGTTGGAGAGGACTCTTGAGAGTCCCTTGGACTGCAAGGAGATCAAACCAGTCAATTCTAAAGGAATTCAACCCTGACAATTCATTGGAAGAACAGATGCTGAAGCTGAAGCCCAATACTTTGGCCACTTGATGTGAAGAACCAACTCATTGGAAAACACCGTGATGCTGGGAAAGATTGAAGGCAAAAGGATAAGGGGGCGGCAGAGGATGAGATAGTTTGATAGCATCACTGACTCAGTGGACACGAGTTCAAGCAAACTCTGGGAGATAGTGAAATACAGGGATATTGGTGTGCTGCAGTCTGTGGGGTCGCGAAGAGTCAGGCACAACTTAGTAACTGAACAAACAGTAACACGGGTAGTTATCATATTGAAAACACTCTCTGATATAGCTGGTCTAGTCCTAAACACCCAAGAGAAACTCTAGCTCATGGGCAGAGGGAACTGTGTATAAGAATATTCATAGCAGCACCATTTGTAACAGAATAAAGAAACAGGGTTGCCCCGGTGGCTCAGTGGTGAAGAATCTGCCTGCCGATGCAGGAGACATAGGTTCAATCCCTGGGTCAGGCAGATCCCATAGAAAAGGGAATGCAACCTGGGAAAACCCATGGCCAGAGGAGACTGGTGGGCTACAGTCCCTGGGGTCACAAAAGTGTCGCATACAACTTAGTGACAAAACAACAACAATAAAAGAAAACAGCTAGCTTTTAATCAGCTGGAAAATGAGTATTTCACATTATATCCCTAAAGGGGAAAACTTAACAGTAGTGTGAATGAATGAAGTAAAACAAAATTTATCAATAAATCACAAAACCATAGAGTTGAGTGAAAAAAGTGAGTTGCTAAAAATAATCCATACAGTATGACATTTAATGATCTTTGGACACTTGGATAGCTACTTTCTACAAATTTACAGATGCATAATTTGCAAGAAAAATGACATGAATGTAAAAGTATCAACAATACATCTTTAAAGGTGTTTTGCAGTGAAACAAATAAGGGAATTGAGATTAGAAAAAGAATTAGGGGAATATGAGCTATGCCTATAATGTGAAAGTTGGGTGATGTATATACAGGTGTTTATTATGTTCTTTGTATTTTTTCTGAAGGGTTGAAATATTTTACAATAAACTCAATGAGACTAAAGGTAGTACACATTATTCTAAAACATTGTGATAGTTAATAATACAGCAAGTATCATTATATGATGATATTTATTATATTAATAGCATGTTATTAAATGGTGAGAACAAATAAAAGCTGGTCAGGGTAAAAAAAAATTTTGTAAGGCTTCTGGATCTTATAGACCCCAACCCAGTTTTAGTCATTTATATAATGCCAAATCAGACCATACAGCTGGACCTTCACACACCACATATGCACAAGCTGTTGCCATTAANTGTACCCGGACAATACTATGAGGCATTGCAGTACCTGCTGGTAATGAGACAACTTTGATAGAAACTACATGTTGTTCCATAACTTGACTTTCTCTGGCAGATTTGCGGATGGTGATCAGGCTGCCAGAACCATTGGTGGACTGCTTGTACTGTAAGAGAGAGAGAAATCCTGGGAAAAAAAGAAGCCAGGGGAGGGTGATGAAGGAACAATAGAAAAGTCACAGAAACACTTCCCTCCCTGTGATCCATGAGGCCCAGATCTAAAGCCTAATGGTTCCCTTTGAACTGGCCCAAGCCATTCAGGAGGGGGATGCTTTAGCAGGAGAGTGCTGGTGGCTCAGACAGTAAAAGCATCTGCCTACAATGCGGGATACCCGGGTTCAATCCCTTTATCGGGAAGCTTCCCTGGAAAAGGAAATGGCAACCCACTCCAGTACTCTTGCCTGAAAATCTCATGGCCAGAGGAACCTGGCAGTCCATGGGGTCTTGGAAGAGCTGGACATGACTGAGTGCCTGAGCACACACAGAAGTGCTCAACTCAACACAGTTGAGAATTCTTTCCAACAGAGGCCACGCTTCTGAGTTAGGAAGTTTAATTCCAAGGGAAACTTTAAAGACTTCTTAGAAGAGTCCCTGGTGTTTGTAGGTGGTCACTGTGCATCAGACACTGATTCTGTCTGCCCTCAGGCTGTCCTGGCATGCCAATATGCCCCCAGGGCCACTGCCTCCACATGAGTGAACATTCCCTATCAGTCACTCTTTTTAGTCTTAAAGTTAGCAGTTATCTCCGCTCTGAATGGGGCAGGTATGAAAGAAAAGGTGGAAAGGAAGGGTTCCCTTGGAGGCAAGCATATTGAACATCTCACTCAGCCCACATCCTTGCAGGAACCATCCTCAGAGTGAGTCTAACTCCCCTACTGGCCCTTTAAAATGCAAAGGTTGGGAGACTTCCCTGGTAGCTCAGGCTGTAAAATGCAAAGGTTGGTAAAATTTCCCTCTATTTTCTTTCCCATCCTCTCACTCTCCCACCTTTCAAAGATGGATTGGTTCTTAGCACCCATCAAGGGCCCTGAAGACACTCACCAGAGGTGAATAACAATAAAATGTTTAAGTATGCAGTGAAAATGATCCAGGAGACCTTGTAACTCAAATAATACACAGATTCACCTTGAGTTAGCATGTGGTGATACAGGAGGAGTGCACTGAGCAGAAGGATGCCTGATGTCTGGACAAAAGGAGAAAGAAAAATTCCTTCTGACAGACCCTGGCTCTCGTACTTGTCTTAACCTGAGATGTGCTTGACTTCCAAAACCCTAGCATGCACAACTGCACCTTGTCCAAAGGCCCATGCCACTTGAGTGGTGCATTCAATTTGGCAGCTACGTATCTAAGCCAAAGAACTGGGAAGGCTGAGTTAGTCAGAGACCACAGCCTGGACCTACAAACCAAGTATGCCTCTAATCCTATATTAGGGAAGACAGGAAGTTACCTGTGACTGAAGACAGGAAGTTACCTGTGAGGAAAGCGAAGCAGGCAGTCATAATGAGAGTATATTTGGTTTGAGGAATCGTATAGGTGAATTCAAAACCCAGGAGCAAGCTATGCATGAAAGAAAGGCCGAACACCACAATCAGAATGTTCCTGACCACTTCCAGGCCATCTGTTGAAAAGAAGAAGCTGTATTGAGAGGAGGACAGATATTTCTTCTGGCTCATTTCTACTTGGGGCACACAAATCTCTAGGTAAACATGAATGAGGTGAAACATTTGATTAAGTAATAAAGAGCAGAGGTAGGGAAAGAAAGAGGCAGGGGTCTTAAGCTAAATGGGAGATGGAACCAAAAGAAACTGTTCTCTATCTTTGTACCTCTGTAAACTTCTTTCTCTTCTATTTTTTCAAAATGCATTTCTTGCTTAACACTCTTGTCTTCTTCTAATGGCAATGTAACATGTTTTCTTTGCTGCCAGTCACCTTTCTTTTATATCCTCACATTCTAGCTGTGCTAGATACCCTGTTGTTACTATCAGGGTTTCTCAGAGATTCATCAGTTAAGTCTGTGAGTTTCTAAACTTTTCTCCAAAATGTGCAAATGCTGAGCTTTTGGGGGTAGGCCTTGACTGTGTTGATTATGGAAGTGGGCACACTGCAACCACAGGTGGTTGCACTAAAGGATAATGGTGAGATGAATGGAAGTCAAGGAAGGATGAACCCTCATTCTCCACCTATCTCTTTCCATATAATAGCTCTGACTGGATGGCCACAGGGAAGTACAACATATCCATGGATTGTGGCTTATCATAGGTTTTGGGGGTCCCAACTTCAGTTCAGCTCATTCTTCTATGATGAGTCCTACCACCAAGAATACTAAGACCCAGGAGGAGAAGAACATGTTGGTGGCCTCGACCTTCCTGACCAGTATATGCACCATTGTGATTGGGGTTTTCAAGTGGAGACCATCACCAATATCTCACATGCTTCTTCTCAGATAGGATTAGTCACAAGAAATAAGGCAAAATCTTTTAGTGACTACTGATGCAATGGCAGTGGCAGAAGCTGAAATAGTCTATGGAACAGAGAAGAGAAATCCTACTGTTTCGCACTCCTCCATTTGGGCTAGTCTGTTTTCACGGCTGCCAACTGCCATGGAATCAGCTTGGTCTGACCCTTGACTCTGAGACCTACTACAGTGGAATCACCAGGTGGCCTAGAGGCCCTGAAAGAGGAATCAGATACAGAAGGAGATATGATGTTACACACAGAGAACATTATCAGCTATAGGAGCAACTAGAGGTCCTGAAAGAGGTTAGACATGTATGATGGAAGACATTACCATTATATGTTCCAGGACTGATGAACATTAGATAGGGATCAATGAAATGAAGAAGGTAATTGGATCACTATGTGAGATGTCAGCTAGCTAGCATCACAAAAAAGAATGAATGCCCTCTCATAATTTGGGTTGTTTTGAAGATAGGTGAGGGATTAGTGAGACACAGGTCAGAGAAGAAATGATATATGTAGTTAGGGAAAACAGGAGTCAAGTTTTTACCTCAATTATTTCCTTTCCAATTAATTTTTTATCCCTCAAATTTCTTAAATCAGTTAAAACTTCTTTAATATGCCAGGATTTAAGGAGACCCATGTTTACCTGTGCACAGAGTTTGCTATATCTCATATAATTTTTCCTATTTAAACAAGTTTAANCCAATACTTTGGCCACTTCATGCGAATAGTTGACTCATTGGAAAAGACCCTGATGCTGGGAGGGATTGGCAGCAGGAGAAGAAGGGGCCGACAGAGGATGAGATGGTTGGATGGCATCACTGACTCGATGGACATGAGTTTGAGTAAACTCCAGGAGCTGGTGATGGACAGGGAAGCCTGGTGTGCTGCGATTCATGGGGTCGCAAAGAGTCGGACAGGGAAGTAAGAGAAGCCATTTCAATGAGAAGCTCGTCCACTGCAATGAAGAGTAGCCCCTACTCGCCACAACTAGAGGAAGCCCTCATGCAGCAACAAAGACCCAGAACAGCCGTAAATAAAATAAATGAATTATTTTTAAAAAGAAAGAAAGGAACCAGCTCCTCTCACACACCTGAGGGCAGGAATGAATGCAGGTTCTCAGTGGGACAGGAAGGTCAGTGCCCAGACCACCTGGGCCTCCCTTCTCTGCCCTTCTCTGCCTCCCTCACCCCCACCTCCCTGGAGCCCAGCTCCTCTCCCACTTCCCTCAAAAAGCAGAATCTTTTACTAAACACTAGGAACTCTGGAGATAAAAAAGAAAAATGGAATAATTATTCATCTAAAGCAGTGTCTGTGTCACTTATCTGCTTGATTAAGTGCCTCTCTGAGCCAAACAATTTTAAGACAAGAGTATCCTCTAAGACTCTGTCCCCCAGGTTGGGGTACCATGGACAAGTCTCGGACTGTGTTGTTTCTGGGTCTCTCTCATGGATACTTATTTTCCTTTACTTCTAAATGAAAGTATGATAGCTACCTTCCTCTACTCTACTTGGAATACCCTTCAACTTAGGAGTGAGAGACCATAAGCTAACAGTCCTCACTACCTGAGACCTGGATGCTCTGATTCCTGCCTGTGGGATATGTATTCTAGGCAACTGAATACATAGCTCTTAATCATGATCCCTGTAGCTGAAATAGCTCTTCCTGGTATCTTCCTGAAGAGAAAGGAATAGAGGGTCAACCCGAACACTGGGGCTCACATATATACGCAGAAGATCCCCTTCTGCCTGTTGGAAATTAGCGAAGGTGATGATTGCAGTGTTTACGGGTGGGGAGTCTCTATACGGCATGTCTATGATCTATGTCTGTTCTTCTACTCAGACACTTTTCATGTCATTCGGCTTCCCCATCACCTTCTTCATCAGATGTCTTTCTGAGGTGTGGACTTTGACATTCAGGACAGATTCTGATTTGCAGAACTGGGCAGTGGCATTTCGCTACATTCTAGCCCAGGATTTCTTGATTATGTACCTCTCTGGAATGCTGGGATGGTTGGATAGCATCACCGACTCAATGGACACGAGTTTGGGTAAACTTCGGGAGTTGGTGATGGACAGGGAGGCCTGGCATGCTGTGGTCCATGGTGTCTCAAAGAGTCGGACACGACTGAGTGACTGAACTGAATTGGAATGCTACTGAAATTAAAAATTTCATTTTCCAACCCCAGATTTGCATAATCAGACAATTGGGGTTAGAGGGAGCCACTTTAGCTTTATCTTCCCTCCGAGAGGTAAAACCTGAGGACAGTGTGAAGCTCTCACTGAGATTGGACTCTGGATCATTTCCTTTTTTTCATTTTCATAGTATCTGAGGGATATAAAAACCCACATTTGATTTTGGTAGAAATCTCTACAAGATGTTGCTTCACATTACCATTTGTTGGATAAACACCAGCAAAGCATAACAGTCATGCAGACCAAGGGTAAGAACACGCCTCCACTCCACCGACCAGGGCTCCCTTCAGGCTGGAGGAGCAGCAGCAAGCCCAGCATGCCCACGGGGGCTGCCAGGCACTGTGCGCGGTGGCGGAGCGGGGACTTTCCCCGGTGGCTTGTACTTAGACAGTGAGAGCGGGGATTGGAGGGAGCAGCGGTTCTTTCCAAACCTGAATGCCCCAACAGAAAGCTTCAGAAGGTCATAGCTTAAAAAGAGCTAAAAAGTTGAAAAACAAGATGAAAAAACAAAAATCATCTCTCTAGTGTCCAGGCTTTTCACTAGCTCACATGACTTTAAATATTCTTCTTTCCTCTATCTTGAGACAGTACCTAAACCATGGCTTTTGGATAAAGGAAAAGAGGAAGAAGAGAGATGGCATCCAAGTCCTTCTCTGTGTTTACTCTTAATGCTTGTCTCTCTGTGTAACTTCTTGATCTCTGTTTTATTCCACTTCAGAAATTTTCCCCAAGGAAGCAAAGGAGAGTGACAGGTATAAAGTCAATAAAATCTTCTATATTGATATCCCCAAAGCAGCAGATGAGCTGATTTTCACGTGTTATTTCACGTAATCCTAGTAACCCAAGTCCTATATTATTTTCTGTCTAAGGATTAAAGAAAAGTATCTCCTAGAGGTACATGTGTACCTTAGTATTTTTTTGGATGACTGCACCATGCCAGTGGTGGAATATGTGCTTAGTTGCTCAGTCGTGTCTGACTCTTTGCAACCCCATGCACTGTAGCCCACTAGGCTCCTCTGTCCATGGAGATTCTCCAGGCAAGAATATTGGAGTGCATTGCCATGCCCTCCTCCAGAAGAATTTCCAACTGTGATGGAAATTTATTTATTTATTTCCAAAATAAATTATGTAATTATCTGTATGAGAATAAGATCAATGATTTGCTTTGTCCCACAGAGAAGGATTTGATATATTTGAAATAATTATTCTGAGTCAAATAACACATTAATGATTATGTACAGGGACTCAGCTCACCTTTAATTCAACAAACATAAGCTAGAACACAGAGCAAGTCACCTAGATTATCTCCTTCCACATTGGGAGGGATGCCTGGCATAACTGTGAAGATGTTGCTCTAGCTCATTTAACTTTGACTTATCCACATTACAAAAAGAATATGAGATAGTTTGAATACTTCTCCTTGCCTTTGAGTTACATTTATTGTTTTTTGCAATCTGGTATCACCCCTCAAGATAATTTTGCAGCAAATTACAAATAATTTTTAGTTCCAAACAAGCCACTTGCATGGTGAGACAGTGACACATATATACACACACACTCACAGGATCATAATAGTCTGATTTGAGGTTTATTTTACTAAACATTATTCACAATATGCGTGATTTGTGGACTGGTAGAGGGCTCATATATGTCTTGGGTATGCTTGAAACTTTCAGTTTAAAATACTTAACTCTAAAAATTTTTTTAAATAAAAATAAAAAATAAAATATTGACTCCAGTAGACCTTATGCAATAATTTTGCTAGAACATATATAAGGAGAACAGGTGTTTATCTGTAATATTTTATTTTAAGGATAAGCAAGAATACTGTATCAAGTATCTACTCTTCTAGTACCATAAACCATATCTTTGAGGACTCATTTCCTTTCATTAAGAGCTGATCTCTTAGCCAAATTCAAGTATACAGAATAGTATTAGGAATAAGATTCACATGCTGTACTTCAGATTCCAGGAATTTATCTTATAACTGAAAATTTTTTAAAACAGTCACCATATAAGGTGGTTGATGTATTAATGTGATAATCATCTCAAAATATATAAAATCATCAGTTTTTATAGTGTAAGTGTGTATGTATGTGTGTGTGTACTCAATTGCCTGGTTGTGTCTGACTTTCTGAGATCCCATGGACCATAGCCCACCAGGCTCCTCTGTCCATGGAATTTTCCAGACAAGAATACTGAAGTGGGTTACCATTTCCTTCTCCAGGGGATCTTCCCTAACTGTAGATTGAACCCTTGACTCTTGCATCTCCTGCATTGGTATGTGGATACTTTTAAACTAGGGCCACCTGGGAAGTTTACACTTTAAGCATACACAATATTTATTTGTCAGTTACACATCAGTAAATCTGGGGTACACACCTAATCTCATTTTGTGATTTTTCTAGGAAATGAAAAACTTCTTGTATAAAGTAGTGTATCTTACCTCTTTTTCAGGCCATGGATCTCTAAGCTGGAGAAAAACAAAGTATTCTGATTGAATTAGGTATCTGGTGGTGATTAGCTTATCTTACATCTGAATAGCCCTTTGTGTCCTTCAGCCTAAGTGAATTCTCCCTACTTCTGAAGACAGTTTAAAATCTACCCTTCCCTAAAGACTGCTATTATCGCTATAGACAGCAGTGTTCTGCCTCATCTCTGAAACTCAACCAGTTCCTACCACTTTTTATAATGACTGCTGGTCTCCTCAGGGAAGGGTTTGATATATGAG